TATCTCCTTATCATGAATTCTTTGTGTTTTTATAATTAATAAGGCTATATAGATTCTATTTTTAGTTATAAAATATTTAGGCGTAAATAATATTATGATTTCAAATTTAGAATTAATCATCTATGGCTGAAACATGATGATCATACATGATATGCAAGTCTCATGATAAGCTGCAGGCTTTAATTATTTACATAAAATGAACAATACAAATGTAGTTTGATTCAAATTTGTCAGACAAATCTATAAAATTCAGGTTTTTTTTGTTCAACAAATATCAAATTTTACAAAAAAAATTCTCAAATTCTTTTAAAAAATCTTAAATGTTTTTCATTGCATTTTATTTAATCATTTTTGTTACAATCATCATGCAGTATTTTTTGGAAAATGTTGAAAGGTTGTCACAAACATTCAGTAGATCTAGCAGTATGCAAGTTGAAAATTCCTCTGTTAGTTCTAGTGTTGAACGTTCTACAGATGAAGAACCCCCTCCAAGTTATTTGGAAGCTATTTCACAAACTCAAAATAATATAAGAGCAGGTATAAATTTGATAACGATTCAAAAATTTTCTTCAAAGTAAACTTTCAATCAAAGATTAAAATTTATTTAAAAATGTCTCAAAAAATTTCAGAAAATATTACTTCTCGTTTAGAAACTGAAAACCAAAATATTGAAGGTATTTATTAAGTTAATATTAAATTTAAATTAAATTATTTATTAATATTTATTTAATTAAAGAATATATGAGAGAAAGAATTACTCAAGAATTTGGAGTATATGAGAAAAAAATTAATTCTCTCGAAAATACAATAAAATTATTGTTAAAAATATTTTTATTTATTATTATTACTATTATTATTTCATTTGGTATATATATTTGGTATACAAGCTCAGTTCATCAAATGAATATTGAACTTTTATCTCGTCAAGTTGAAGTAGAAGTGAAGCAAGAAGTGTTTAATAATCATTTAGACTTAGTTAAAAGACAATTTCTAGAGTTTATAGATTCAGTACGAATGAAATAGAATATATTTTTTGTATAAAAAGATTTTCTTGATTGGTTTCTAAACGAGAAGTAATATTTCTTGATTGGAAATCGACCAAGTAGATTTTTTATTTTTAAATTATTATTTAATTAGTTTAAATAAAAATTTAAATTACTAAAAATATAAATTAAAACTTAGTATCCATTTATATTTTTTGTAATTTTATCATGAGCTAACTTAAATTTGATTGCTTCTTCTTTACTCTTAAATCTTTTAGCTTTATGTTTTTTATTTTTATACCAATCAAATCTCCATCCTTTATATTTTTTATCATAATAAATACTATTATATCCACTAGTATTTGATTTTCTCATTTTACGATTTAAAGCATTTTCTCTTGGTGTTGTTTCTCTGAGATTACATTCTCTGTTATCTAAACCTGAACGATTGATATGATCTATCATCTTCCATTCAGGATGTAGTAATCGATGAAATTTTAAATTTTTCCATTTATTATTTTTTTTAATATTTGTTCTAATATAATATGTATTTCTATTTTTTGGTTTGTAAGCATACCAAATATGTTGACGAAGTTTTGTATAATTTTTGATATCACAAAAAAATGTTATCTCAGGTTTTTGAGTTTTAACTTCTAAATAAGCAAGACCTAGAATAGTTACAAGTCTAATCTGATTAAAAAGTTTATTTTTATATTGCCAATGAGTAGATTTTTTTCCTCCATGAAATTTAGAGATAATCTTAAAAGTAGAATATATTTGTCTCCACAGAGAACTCTCAGATTCTCATTCAAAATTCATTTTGTTTATCTTTAAAGAAATAAAGTTTATTTATATATTTTAAACCTATAAAAAATATAAATAGGAAGATATTATTCATTTTATTTATTATAAAAAATGTCAGAAGAAAATTTAGAGAATTTACGTGAACAATATGAACAGACCCAAAGAGATTTAGAACAAATACAAAATCGAACAAATGCAACTTATAATAGAGTAATTTGTTCAGTTGAACGTATGGTTGAAAGAAATTTAACAGAATCTGAAAAAAGGTTTGTTATGCAATGTATGGATCGAGATACTGAAATTGCAATGAATATACCTAATATTACATTTAATGAACAAGTCGCAATACATGGAAAATTTTTGAAAGATATGCTACTGAGGTTCATGCCAGATTGTGATAAACGTACAGAAAAACTTGAAAAATTTCCATCAACTTTTTAGATTAAGATTTATTATTAAAAATATTTAAAATATACAAATAAGATTTTAAAATAAGATTTACAGATAAAAAATAAAAATTTAAAGATCAAATTCTTCTTCACTATAGATATCAGGAGTTGATGTTCTTGAATAACAACATTCTTCATACCCTTCATATATACTAGGAATACAATTTTCTTTATAGTAAATATAATTATTATAATCATCATCTTGAAGATAATTATAATAATTTTTTTCTTCTTGATTAGAAGAAATCTATTCGATTTCTTCTTGTGATTGATTAAAATTAATTAACCAATCATCTTTTTCTTCATTTTCTTTAATATCTATTAATGAAGTCCAATTTTCTTCTTGGATTTCATTCTCTTCTTCTTGAAAAGTTTCTTCAGTAACAGTATATGACTTTCCAAAATATTTAGACATAAAAATATCTTTTTGTTCATATAATTTCAACTTTTCAGAAAATTTTTTATTTTCTTCTTGAAGCTTTTCAAAAATTGCTTCATATTCTTTGTTAAATTCTTCAAATTTTTCAAAGTTGATAGAACTCATTTTTTGTTTTTTGTTAGTTTCGTCTGTTGAATTAGAAAGATATTTTCTTTTGTTTTTTCGTTCGTTTGAAATAATTTGTGAGGTGTTGTAAATTGATTGTTTAGTCTCAATTTGGAATGATATGTTTGCAGACATTTAAGGTTGCATGCAGAAAATTAAGCATTTTTATAAGCTTTAAACATTAAGAATAAAACAAGTTTTTTAAAAAACTCGTAAGGAGAAAGAATTTTTTTATCAAGAGTTTATTGGTTCAAAAATTATTAATTATAAATAAACAAAACTTTACAATATGATTGGTGCATTTGTTATCAGTGATTTCTGTGTCATCATCATGTGTTGTTCTAGAATTCTAAATTTGTAAATCTGTAATCTATCTATTTGTAAAATCCTCATGAGGATGTTCGTGATCAGTGATCTGTTTATACAATCTAACTATTTGAGGATTATCCTCAAAAAGAAATATTTGATCAGTTATATAAGTTGATATGAGTAATCTTCGAATAACAAATGTAACAAAACAATATGTAAGATAAATAATTTTTAATAAATATCGAAAGAAATATTATAGGTTCTTTATTCAAAAACAAAAATGGCTGATCTTGATAATATTCAATTTGAGAATGAACAAACAATTCATGAAGACTCTACAATTAGAAGTAATCTTAAGAGAAAACAACCTAATCAAAAAAATAAATCTAATAAAAGAAAAACTCAAAAACATGAAATTTGG